TCTTAGAAAGAACCTCTCTCTCTCTCTCTTTTTTTGTTTTTTTTCAAAATTCACCATGCTGTTTATATTCATTGAACTGATAGCAACAATACAGATGGTATTGTCAAAGTGCTGTTTTAAAACTCTCATCTGTTTTCCTCTAATTCCCCCACCCCACTTCCGACCCTTTGTGTCATTTCTCTGCCACATGCATACACTCTCAGTGAGAGAAACACTTTTTTCAAGTTCACAGGATGGCCCGCCCATCCGCTTAAAACCACATGCTCTCCGTGAAGAGCTCAGTACTCTCTCTTTCTCTCTTTTCTTTTCTTTCTTGACAGACTCACACAAACACACATCACATAGGCAAATGCCTCCACCTCAAACATTTCAGCAGATATGGGTCATAGGTTTTAGGTGTATTAATTAAAACTAAAGCACAAAGGGAAATCAAAGCCAAGTGGATTTACGAATTATAATTAATTTGAATTAATTATAATCAAACATTATAATAAGTACAAAAGTATTTTTTTCATTGCTTTGGGGAAGTTAATAAGATTGGCCTAAAAAGTTTATTTTTTATTTTTGTGGCAATATTTACTTCTAAATCTACAATATTTAACTGTTGAGAACAGTGGAAGAAATATATTGGCTAAGAATTTCCAAAAAAAAAAGTGTTCATAGCTGTTTTTCACCTTTTGTCTGACGTTCATGAGAAAATAAAATAGCACTTGATGGACCATGATAAGAGTTCAGCATTAGCGGTTAACACAAATAGTTATTTTCTGATGTGTTGCTGCGGTCATCTTCACACTTTTTAAGGCCTTACACAAAATAACTAAAGGCCTCAAAGTGAACAATTGGATAAATCCAGAAACGTTTTGTGAAGTCGGATTGGCATATACATGCATTCATATCACCATGGATAAAAAAAATAAAATTCAACATAAACACACACTATTCATTGCCATAAATATGTGGAATCCAAAACCATTGGCATTAATAGTGAGTTGGTCCTACCTTTTGCTGCTGTATCTCGGAAGACTGTATCTGTGATGACTTAAGTCACAGTAAGCGTCTCAATTCATCCAAAATGTGTTCAGTGCTGTTCACATTTAGGTTTTTTGCTGACCAGTCAAGTTCTTTCACACCAGTAAATTATTTCTTTATGGATCTCACTTCTATGCCCAGTCATACCCTTACGAAAAATAAGTTTATTCAAGTGTGCTATTAGTATACTTCTTTTAAACTAAAAAATAGGAAAGTATACTTTTAGTCTACTTTTTATATACTTCTCAGAAATGGGCTTTATGTACGTCTCAGAAATATACTTAAAATGACATTTAAGTATACTTGACTTATACTTTGAAAAAGTCTAAATATATTTGAGCTATACTTGTGTTCCTAGAATCCGTGTTTTCATTGTTATACTGTAGGGGGCGCTAGTACACATCTTCTGTACAGAATTTCCAAAAAACACAAGTGAAGAAGAAACCGAAACAACAGATGCTACCACATGTAATCTAACACGATCATCAGACATAAAACAGCATCAAAACTGTTTAAAGTTGATGTAATGTCGACCAATAAAATAAACTTGAAGTATACTACTTTTTGGTAAGGGTATTGTCATGCTGGAACAGGAAAGGTGCACTAAAAGTGTGCATGCTGCATGATTGATTGTATGCACCTGCTAGTAATGGGTGCAGTTGAAATAGCAAAACCTGTTAATTAAAAGGGGGGGTGTTTTGTTACTCTCTCATGATATTAATCTCAGTTGTGAAATTATTTAATAAAAGAGACAAAAAAAAGAAGTATAAATATTACATCTTTAGATGAAACCATAATAACTTCTTGATATGAAACCCTTCAGGTTTTGGGCTCAAACTTTAATTTGCTTACTTGATTATCTAATCCTAGTGCAGTACCCTAAGGTACAATAGCTAAAAGGTACCTTATTTACCCCTAAATGCTACATATTAATAACTTAAATGTAAAAAAAAGTTTTGTACCTTTTTTCAAAGAGTGTACTGTTTCATCTCTGTACTTCACTCTCAGAAAAAAAGGTACAAAAGCTGTCACTGGGGCGGCACCTTTTCAAACGATATTAATACGTACACTTTAGGTACAAATATGTACCTTTAAGGTACTAAAAATGCACCCTTTAGGGGTAAATAAGGTACCTTTTGAAAGGGTAACCCCCCACCACCCCCACCCCCACAGTGGCAGCTTTTGTACCTTTTTTCTGAGAGTGTTCAAAAAGCTCTTTTTTTTTGTAGCTTTCTGATGTTATTTTTTAAAGCAAATGTTCAGTGCTGCTACTTACATTATACAGGAGGCCTACAAATTTGAAAATGCATAACAAGAGCTATAAAAAATGTTGCGTGTTTTGTGTTTTGCTGTTGAGCTTTGGCCTGGCAACACTGGTCAAAAATAAACTAGCTAGCTACCAATAACACTGTGCATCTATTTCCTTAATACCATGCAGTTTAGCCAAACGGTTTAAGTTAGCAACATAATATCACATCTCATGCTTAAACCCATTTGCTTCTGTATCCCTGTGTCTCCCACATTTTCCACTAGATGGCCAGGAAGATCACAAGAACAAGGTCTTTCACCATCCATGTGCAACATAGACAACATTCGGTGTGGAAAATTACAGAGATAGATAGATAGATAGATAGATAGATAGATAGATAGATAGATAGATAGAAAACATTACCAAAAAACACTATACTGGCCAATACATATATTGTTCATAATTAAAACTTGGCATAGTTAATTGATCCTAATCATTCCTTAACCGCATAGTTGCTGAGAAAAATATCTAAATAACAACTAGCTGCTGCCTATTTAATAATCAGGACTTTGATAATATGTACTGATATCTTTCAGTTTTACCGTTACTATCACAAACACACGTAGCCCACCGAGAAACAACAATGCATTGGATTTCCCCTGTAAGTGCCCATATGTCCTACATGTAAAACAAAATTAGTCTGATAGTATGCTAGAGGATAAACAGCGGGGAGCAGAAGTGAATCTGTTTGCGCAATGAGCCAATCAGAGCAGTGCGAGGCATCAACACGGAGCAGGAGGCTGTGACCTGCGTTTGAACTGCTGACCTGTATAACTCACTCCTACTGACACACACTACCACACTTCCAACATAACGCTTCAGCAAGCACAGCGAGGCCCTGGGCAAGAGGGATGGAGAGGGGCAAGAGGGGGGAAATGGGAAATTAAAGGGGGACAGGGTAGTGTTTGTCAGGATGTAAGTTTATTTTGTAGTGTTTTACACTGAAGTGAAGACGAGAATCACTCTTCTCTGCATCTCTGGTCCAGTGACAGAGAAATGAGACCTGTGTGGTAAGAAATGTCAGCAAAAAGTATAGAGGAAAAGATAATGTGTAGCATTGGTGACGAGTCATCTGTTATTGATAAGTGAGTCAATTATTTTCAGGATCAGTTATTCATCCATGACTGATGATCCCTTGACCTCAATTA